TGGAACCTAGAGCATAAAAGATTACTGTGGTGGGGAGCAAAGAAAATTTGGAATAGAAGGATCCAACGACCTCTACTGCCTTGACCACCGATCAGAGAGCTTGGTAGCGAAAGATCGACTATGGGCAACAAGGATCTGACAATGAACATTCATGGTAACGCTAAATCCATTCTTGGAGATTGGGGTTAGCTAAGATATTGCACACACCCCAAGGTATTGTTCCAACAAGCCAAGTGGATTGCCATGCCCGCCCACCACCATCATTTTGGAGGGTTGATCTTTCTGAGGTCCAACCCCAATCAGAGCGAATAGAAAAATGAGATTTTGATTTTGTCAAAAAGATATGATCCCAGAGGAGCTCAGGGTTAGCTTGACATCGCTAGATGTCGGATCATTAAATTGGTTCCCAGGACTGCAACTCCCCAAGATCTACTTAACTTGTTTCTTTCCTTTTTTTTTTTTATCAAGTTCTAGTTATTTAGCCCTCTTACAGTGGCTTGGCTTCTTCAAAGCAATTAAACAACCTGGGCTTGTGAGTTGGCCATGGAAGAAAGGTTTCGACAAGGTCATCTCCATTCGCCATGAAGCACGAGAAAGTTCCTCTTTCAAATTCCATTCGAGGATTTTTCATCTCAATCTTCCTTTGCGTTTTTATTTTTATTTTTTTTAATTTATTTTCTCCTTATATCCTTCTCACCATTGCTTTTCTCTACCAAGTTACTGAGGGTGCTTTCTTCGTGGGCTTTGTTTTTTTTTTTTTTATTATTTCATAGGTAGGAGTTTACTTACTGATCTACTAGTATGTTTTTTAGGTGATAGTCCATTCAGAGTGGAGGCTTGTGTGTTCCTCCCCTGATGTGTTCTGCGGCCTCATGGGTATTAAAGGTAATAGAAAGAAAAGAAAGAAGCATGGCATCTCTAAGGCCCTACTTCGGTGGAAAGGAAAGAACCCACAGAGTTATCTATAAAAAAAACTACTTCGGCAGGAAAATAGCTTGCTCTTACGAGGGGAGCCAGAATTTTTTTATAAAGGGGCCAAAACCTAAATTAAGTATGGATGGACCCGGGGGGCAACCATTGAGGTGGAGAATGGGGAAAGGGGAAATTATACATAAAAAAACTGTATTATTATAAAGATTCATAGGGGGGGCATGGCTCCCCTGAGTCCCCCTGGCTCCGCCCCTGCTCTTATGGCAACAAATTTACCAACCCCCCACAGTTTGGGCTGTAAAAATTCATATCTAAATTGAAACAGGAAAAAACCCAAAAGGTGGAAGTCTTTAGAAAACAGGATCTCCAACACAAAATAGAGCAAAAACGAAAGAAAAAAAAAAAAAACAGGAGGAGAAAGTGAAGGAAAACGAATGCTTGGAATGAGGCAAATTCTCTCTCTTAAATTCATACTTAATTTTCGGTCCTGGTGTGCTGAGTTCTGGTTCCTAAAATTTTTCATCAGTTGGGTTTTATTTTGAATTTTTGAGGAATAGTGAAGGGTAAATTCGAGATTTCATTTTTTTCTCGTTAGTATTTAATGACAATATCAATTGTCAGAAACAGTAGGGGTACTTTAAGACATTATGTACACAATAAGTAGGGCTGCAAGTTGGGCTGGGTTAGGTTAGGTTGAGGCCAACCCTAGCCCAACTCTAAGTTCTAAACCCCCAACCCGACCTTCAACCCGACCTACCCTACCTTAACCCTAACCCTAATTAAATTCTTTCAACCCTAACCCAACCCAAAATCAACTTCGGGTTGGACCCAACCCAACCTTCTTCCCATCCCACATAATCTTGTAGAACCTCTTAATATCATATCTTAACTCAACTTTTACTACATACATTAATCCTATGTTTTATTAGTATTTGTTTGTTGATGTTTTTGATGGTTCTTTAAGTATAAAATTCAGAAAAAAAAAGTGTTTGAAATGATTATAATTTATTACGAGTTATGACTTATAATAGATCTTTTATGGGCAGCAAGTTATGGGTGGTAAAACAATATAGAAGAGATAAATAATAAAATATTCAAAAACATAAAATATGTTATTAAAGTTTTAGTATTTCTAATTAGGATTAAGTGAAGTGATTATCTTAAAAGAAATAAATGATAGTATGTGGTGGGGGGCATACAATTATCATGCATATAAACAAATTGATATATGATATATCTATATATATAATACATTTATATATGATATATACCATAGAGTCAGGTTCAGGTTGGGACGGATTGCCCGAGGGATTAACCTAATTCAATCCGAAGTAAAGTCGGATTCATAAATTTCAACCCTAATCCTAACCCGATCCAATACAACCTGACTTTTTCGGGTTGGGTTTGGGCCAACCCAGCCCAAATTGCAACCTTAACGATAAATGTACAATTTGTCAATTAGCTAAATAGTAGGAATAGTTTAAAAAAATTGCCCTTTTTTATATATAGAATCCTTTTTTATTTATCTCAAGAAAAAGTAAATTTCAAACACAACTACACAACAATTGAAATGCAAGAGAAATAACCCGTTGTTGACTTAGATGGCATGATTGTTTGGCCATTTAGCCCAATCAATGGATCGGATTCCGTCTAACAATTTAATAGTGATTTGATTCAAGATCTTCGATTCCAATCCAATCCAAAGTGGGCATTTATCCATGTGGCTATAATTTAGGTGGTGTTTAATTTGTAGTTTTAAAAACAATAGTTGTATTTCAAAACCATACTACCTCTTCTTTGAAATTAAAAATATTGGCTGTGAAGTCATTCTGTCATGTATGGTCGTGGTTATGTTCAGAATCACATTGAATCACAACCATGGCATTCATCATGGTTTGTTTTTTTGGATTCATTGCATTTTGAATTTTTTTGTATGGTTTTATATTTTGTATTATTTTGTATATATTTGTATTTGTACTCTTTCGAAAGTGAGCTTAAACAATTCAGTTATCAACGCTCAACTTTAATTGTTAAGTATGTACTAACACTAACATATAATACATTAAAAATATTATAATATGTTATGTATGGTTGTGGTTATGTTTAAAATCACATTGAACCACAACCATGGCTTTCTTGATTTGTTTTCTGGACTCAATACATTGTGAACTTTTTGGTATGACTAACATGTATATAAGGCTTAGTTTGGAAGGAGTACAAATATGCAAATTACAAAATCTTATCTTTTGTATCATTTTGTGTATATTTGCATGTACATATTTATATTTGTATTTATATTCCTTTTGTATTACAAAAGATGGTGTTTGGCTAGGCAATAAGACAAATCAGCCAATAAGAGCCATATACAAAATAGGAAAAAGAGATTGTAAATCAATAAATCACCTAGGATGACCAATTGACCATCACCAAAATGACTAGACCCAAACCAACCCTTCATATTTGGATCGATTTTCCCTTATAACTGGTTGGTTTTGGTTTAGTTGTTTATCGAACCAACTAGATCGGTTCGGTTGAGCAAAAAGCCTATAACTAACCCAACCCGACCCGTGAACATCTCTACTAAACTCAAACTAAATGGGTTGCCAACCAATAAGGATAGGCCGGGTTCGTGTATTTGGACCAGAAATTGCTCCCCACACTTCAATTTACACATATCCAAGAGCCACGTCCATTCGTTAAAAGTTGATAAAAGTGTTAATCATCGTTATGAACATTGAGATCAATTATGTCAGTGTGGAATCATGCCACCTTTTTTTTTTGAAAAACATCTTTAAAACCCGCTTTTTCATACCATACCTATGTTTGGTTATGTGTTTTTCAAAAAAAAAAAAACATTTTTCTAAACTATGCATGATGACATGGCACTGAAAAATGCATATGTGGCAATAACAACAATGGCCTCAAACATATTTTATTTTTTTTCTTGAGAAAATGGTATGCCAATGCAGCACCATTTTCTAAAAAAACACCTCTAAGTATGTATTTGGTTCAGTTGGCATTTATTGAAAAAACGCCGCCACATCAGTGCCATATAGGCGTTGGTGTTTATTGCATATGAAGCAAAATGAAGCAATTGTTTGATTTCATCATTTATTAAATAAACAGTAAAAAACTGAAACGCTTTGATTTTTGTGCACGAATCATTTGGAGAAACTCCAAATTCTTGTTTTCTCCATCGCTTTAACATTTTTTGAAATGAAATGCTAATGTATCACACTTTAATGAGTATTAATCTGAGGTGGAGAATAAAAAACATTTAAAATAAAACCAACCCAAGAACAAAAAAATGAAACATTTAAAGTAAAAAAAAGTTTAAAATAAAAAAATATAAATAAAATTTAAAGTGAAAAAAACACAAATAAATAAATATTTAAAATGAAAAAATACAAATAAACGACAACCCATAAATATAAACTGAACCAAACACCTTATAAGTAAATGGCATTGGTTCCAAATATTGCCCTCAAGAAAACAAAGAGAGGAAAGAAATAAAGAAAGATGAGAAGTAAAAAGAAAACAAAGAGCAAAAAGAAAAACAGTACAAATTAGATTCAAATGGCAGTGGCATTACCATTTTGCAAAAGAAGAACAAGAAAACCAATGGGCGTGTAAAATGTTACAAAACCAGTAGAAAAAAACTGGTTTAATTTTCGGGGCCCAAAATTGTGCCAAATGGCAACTGTTTTAACCCATTAAGATTTCATTAGAATTCATGGTTTCTCCTCTCCAAACCCATTTAAAAGAACACCGAGAGAAGCTGATCAGATGCAAAGATAATTGACCAAAATGATGTGAAGGAAGCACAATCTAATACACAAAAAGGAACAATAATGGAACCCTTGTGCCTAATTCCTTCCGATGAGTGATATATCCCATTTACGCAGTAAAAGCTCATAAAAACAGCGTTTAGATAAGAACCCACATGGACGGTTGAGATCGGCAATTCGAAAAGTTGGCGATCCGTGTAACCTGAATCCAACCAATCAGAGCTCTCCTTCGTAACAAGGAGTAGACCTAGAGTCAGTTATAAATAGTGCTGATCCTGGTTTGAATTTCGTCAGAGTAATTTCTTATAGTTGTCGTTATCAATCGTTCACTTTCTCAGCGTTAAATTCTCTCCTTGTTATTCTCTAGCTCCACTAGCTATGTCGTCGACCGTTGAAGGTGAGGCCGCGACCGTTGCGGTTGAGCAGCCGCCGGCTGAGGCTCAGGTAGCGAAGTCCGAGCAGCCTGGGAAACCTGCGAAGGTTCCGAAGGAGAAGAAACCGAAGGCCACCAAGGCTTCTCATCCCGCTCATCCTCCTTACTTCCAGGTAACAAGATTCTCCATTTCCATGTCTTTAATTTACCTGTCCCTGTTTCCAGTTCCCAGGTTTTTTGCCTTGTTTTTGATGTTTTTCGATCGGGATTGGGAACTTCGTTTTATTGTTTTTAGTTTGAAAAATTTTACATTACTTCAGTAAATCTATTAGGGTTTCAATCGGGAAAGATGGTATATTTTTGAGTCTAAATGGTTGGGGGTATGGTGCAGATGATCAAGGAAGCATTGTTGGCTCTGCACGAAAAGAGTGGTTCGAGTCCTTACGCTATTGCCAAACACATGGAGGAGAAACACAAAGCTGTTCTGCCTGCGAACTTTAGGAAAATATTGGCGCTGCAATTGAAGAATTGTGTCGTCAAGGGGAAACTGATCAAAATCAAGGCCTCGTTCAAGCTTTCTGAATCTGGCAAGAAGGAAAATGCTCAGAAGGCCTTTAAGGGTGCGAAAGTTGCTACTGGAAAGAAACCCGCACAACCCAAAGCCGCCGCTGCCGCTCGCAAGGGAAAACCCGTCAAGAAGCCTGCAACTCCCAAGAAGGCAACCAAAACAGTAAAGAAGGTTGGACCCAAGAAGGCAAAGAAAGCAACTCCGGCAAAGCCTAAGCAACCCAAATCCATCAAGTCTCCTGCCGCAAAGAAATCTAGGAAGGCCACTGCTTGAATGGACAAGATAGAAAACAATACTCCTATTCCCTTCTTAGTTATGTACAGAAATGGATAAGTAGCAAAAAAATCTCTCTTTTTGATGGAGGTCTGGTGGGTTCGGTTTGTTTGCAGAGTTTTGAACGTAATAGCTTGTATACTGCAATGGAAATTAATTAGGAGTACTGAATATAAATTTCCAACGTTTTCTGTACTTTCCTTTTTCATTTCGAAAGCTTTGGTCTCACTAGGCTGAGAAATAAATTTGAGAGGGTTCTTTATGCCGATGTTAGGGGTGAGTGAAGGCTCTGGATTTGTGGTGTCTGTTACCTGGTTCGGCTTGGTTAGAAACCAGGTAAGAGATGTCCCCTCGGTCCCTCCAAAATTGCTGCATCAATTGTTGTTGGTGTTACTCTTAGCCCAAAAGACGACTGGACCAACTAAAACACGAATATTTTGCTTGTGGCCTTAGCTTGAGAGCACAGATAAAACCGGAATATATTGTTGGGGTAGTCAAGATTCATTCCTATCCAGACTCCAGTGGATGCAAACAAAAACAGAAATACAGTAACCACGACAGAAACCAGCAGCAGAGAGCCAAACAGAAATAACCAAACCTAATTCGGACCACGTTACCTAAGATAAGCCAAATCAGACTGTGACGTCCACAGCGGGTGGTTTTCGGTAACACCATTACGGGAATATTTGAGGTGATGTGGGCTTTGTCTTTGTTGATGATTAAGGCGAGGAATTGTAATTTGCATAAATGTGAACTGTGAGGTATACGAACTAATTTACCTGCACCACATGATGTAGGTCCGCTACATCCAGACAACTGGGAGACTTGCTGCCGCAGGTGGATGTGTGGGACTTCGTCCCGCACGACGAACAAGACCTCCCGACTTGTTCCAACTAGCCATGCATTGAAAACATTTTCCAACTAGCCACTGCAGCCTTATGGAAAGGTCTCAACTTCAGCACTCTTCACCTTTACTTGCATCAAAAGTCAAAACTGACACCATAAATTAGTTAATAATAATGATCATTTAAAAAAAGAAAGCAATGGTTAAATGAGTCATAATTCATATCAAATCAAAATCAAAGTCAAATTGGTTTTTGATATTGATTTTTTTGGATGGGTTCCGACTGTGCTAAGGTGTTCTGGGATAGAAAAAGGGTCATAGTGCTGTGCTATGGGAGTGTAACTTGGCCTGGGTTGGTCCAAACTCAACCCTCAAAAATTTTGTTAGATCGGGTAGAAAGGTCAGGCTAGTTAGTTTAACAAGTATGAACTCATATGCACTAAAGATCCTAAAATACAAGAAACTTTTGGTGCAACACAGGTATTTCTAAAACACTTGTAATGGCAGCATTTTCCACATAGTTACCATTGGCTACGCAGAAGAATGTGATTTGACAGATTCAAGTTGCGTATGTATGATCAATCATCATACCTTTCTTGATGATTAGATTATCAGTAGTAAGACATTTTTCTAATGCAGCTGCAGCCACTCAAAATATTTTACATGTTTGGTTTGAAGGAAAAGGTAGGGAAACCGTTACAAACCTTGTATAGGTTTCTCTGCATTTCCCTTACTTTCCGACTTTCCCTACTTTTTTTTCCTTCAAACCAAACACAGCCTAAATGACGTGAAGGAAACATTGACCTATTTCAGATGTCAAAAAAGAACACTTCGAGGGGTGTATTTTTGTTTCTCAAAATTCCTTAAACATTATAATTTCGAAGCTTGTTTATCAAAATATGCATATCTAAAGCACCTCAGAACCTTTTTCTGTAAGAAAGCAAATCAAGTTACAATGTCTTTAACCACCCCTCCTGGTCAGAGTAGAAAAGGAAAAAAAAAAAAATCAAGTTACAAAGACATACATCTCATTTCCCACATCCTAAACATGTTAAGATAGATTACCTACCATTCAGAATATGACAAAAGAGCCTTAAAAAAATCATGACCTGAAAATTATGAAAGAGTGGTATTACATGTAACAAGGTTATTGTGCTGACCATAATGACCTCAACCAGGTCAAACGGCGAGGGCCTTTTATTGTAATAAAAGCAATAGCATTCTTATCTTCCTTGAGAACATTTACCGCTTTTGCGAACTCCGAGTCATCTAACTCCAGTATTTCTTGCAACTCTTCTATACATTTCTGATATAATGTTTTCTCATTTAATTCGGCCTTTCGAGTTGCTCTGAGTTTGGATGCCATTGCTATTTCATGAAGTGCATCCGCTATTTTGTCTTCAGCTTTTCTACGCACTCTTTTACTGCGATGTGAACTTGTTGGAACATCAGATCCACGTTTCTTGGGTTGTGTTTCCTCTACGTTAAATATTGAATCAAAACTTGAACTGGATTTCTCCAGGTTAGCATTAGCTTCTTGAGCTGGTTGGGCGGTGGGTTCAGAGGCTTGGAATGTTTCAGTGTTGCTATTTCCCTCTTCTGGTGTTGCTTGTGCCCCGCTTGAAATTTGACACTTTCCATTGGCTCTTGCACCTACATTAACCAGGGGTTATTAATTGCTTTGAAAACTTTTTATTCCTGTTTTTCTTCTAAATAAAATGAAACCTGCCTCCAAAAATTATGGACAATTGATTATACAATGGAAACCCCTTGCGTCGAAAGGCCTTTGCCTCGTTATGTACCTGCATGCATATAGTGTGAGCTCTTGATGCTTTTACAGCTTAACTATAGAGATTGAAAGAAGGAAATCACATACCACAGTGTAACGCTCCCAAACATCATCTTGAGCAACAACCACTTGTCGAGTTTCATCCCAGCTAAATCCACTAGTGCTAAGCAGGGTTTTAACAATGCCATAATCTTTCTTCAATACATTATACCGGTTTTTTATCTGTCTATCTTCAAAATTCAGGGCAAACTTTTCATTAAAATCCCTTGCAACATCTTTAAAAACCTCAGGTTTCAATCCATTCAGAGATGTTTTTCCACTATTATATTGCTCGACAAAAAGTTGAACCAAATATGCATCACGTGATGGTGTCCACTCTGCCTTTGGTCGAACTTGAGATGCATCTTGACTCAGAGACATTCTATCCTTTTCTCACTAACGAAGTAAGAAATATTCACTGAACAGAAAAAGAAGAAATATATGAAGCAATCAAAATTGGTCAAGAATCAAGATACAGTGGAGAAGTCTGAAACTATAAAAGGAGAATTTAACTTCATTCCAACCATTCATTTCATATGTACAAGAGAAAGTAGTGTAACATACAAAAGAACTCTATAAACATAAATCAAGATAGTTATAACAGGGGAGAGAAGCTCTATAAACAAAGAGTTGAGGTGAATACAAAGATTAAAAGAAGAAATTTTGGGCTTTGGTTCCAAAATAGATTGATGGTAATCACATGCTCTTTGGAGTTTATGCCATGGAGACGGAATAGTTTAAGGTATAAGATCATTTAGGCATTCAGTAATTTATTTTATCAACTATTGCAAGACTTAGATAGTGGATTGATCTCACATTGATAAAACAAAGGGAATCTGTTATTCCAGTGACTGTGGTGTAAATAAATGGCTAAATGTAACCTTCTTTTGCTTTTACTCAAGGTGTTGAAAGCTTCTTTCCTGACATTTTTAATGCTAACAGGGATATCTGTACCATTGCTTATAAATTTATGGTTACCTTATTCAGGTTTGGAATTTTGTGGATACGATGTTGTCAATGATTTTGGATCTTTTGGTGACAAATAGAATCTGGGCAGTTGAAAAGCTTCAATTATGGCAGTACATACTATTCCAAAAGTAATATCTTCCATTGTTCATGATTTTGTATTGTCACTGTCTTGTACACTTCACAGATGGCAAGTTCTAGGATTTTATTGGGATCAGGGCATCAACACACTTCATTTTTTGCCCTACTGGAATTTTATTCTCAATACAAGACAATACACTGTACTGATCACTTGTACTTGGGGTTTTTCCTTCCCCCGAAATACAGGTTTCTTAATTTATATAAGAAAATTATCCTGCTACTGTCATCAAAGGATATTTTAAATTAAAGGTTGATGATCCAATAAGGGATTATGCTAATGACTTTCCCAAGCTCCTTGAACACTTGAAATGCCAGTGAAGGACTCAAACTAAACTTGATAGTGGGTTGACTTGTAAGATTGCCAATACCTTGGTGAATTTGTTAAGTGATGGAAATAATATGGTATGTATAACCAATACAAATTAAGGATTTTGATGAGGTGGAAGCTCAAGCTTCTTAAGGAGGTGCAACTATATCTGAGATCAGCTTGTCTAGTTTCCTCATTGCTGAAGGTAACTTGGAAAAAATTTATTAGATGGACTGTTCTTGGGATGCCATTATCGGGCATGCATTTTTTTTTGAACCACACTATTTAATGTTTAATATGTTTTTCTTGAAAATCATGCCTAGTTATGAAATTGTTCCTGTGCCTGCGAGATTAGAGGCTTTTCTCTTTCCTTCCCTCTGTCATCATGGTTATAACAAGCTTGGAGACTTCAGGGCAATGATTGTGTACTAATAAGTGGGATGTTAGTGGGTCCATGGGGTTAGCGTAATTAGGGAGTTTTCTTGTAATGTGAAAAAATAAGATGAATAAGTTATATGGGTTGAGAGTCTTACAATAGTGGTTGGATCCATAATGAGTTAATAGGGAGTTGGTTTCCTTGAACTAATCCAACCCAACTATTCAATTCTCCCTATCCCATGTGTCAAAAATCAAAATGAGGGTGGGCCGGCACAATGGTTGGGATTCTCCATTGTGACCTAGGTGACCAGGGTTCAAATCTTTGGAAACAGCCTCTCTGTGTATCTGCAGGGGTAGGGTGGGAACCTTGTGCACTGGGCTGCCCTTATGTGTCAAAGTAGGTGAAAGGGAAGAAGAAAGTGATTTCATCCGACTTCTCTCTCACACCAGTTGCCCCAACATTGCTGCTCCAATGACCCATTACACACACACTCTCTCTCTGAGCCGTATAAAATATTCTTTTTTCTTCTTTTCTTTGGGGAGGAGGGGGAACATCAGACTCATGAACATTGCTGCATTTTGCTGTGTACACATTTTTTTAACCACCCTATTTATAAGTCTAATATTAATTTCTCCCTCAATTCATTATCACTGCAGTCTTCTCATAGTTAGAACTAATGGCAGCTTTTAAGGCTTGATACTAACAGGGTTTTTCCTACATAGTTGCATTTAAAACCAAAGAAGATTTTATTTTATTTTTTCAATTAAGATCCAAACTTGTTGACAACATATATACAGAATCTTTACCTTTCCATTCTGTTGTGACAAAAGCATATATCCAGAAAAAAGAATAAAAACCCCAAAAGATGCTACATAAAATGAAGAGACAATTAAAATAAAATGCATTGTGCCATTCAATGAAGGGAAATGACATCAAACATCTAGAAGTGGAAAAGACCAAAGAGAAACTTGTATTGACAATTCAGAGAACAACAGGCTTAAATGTCTGTGCGTTGATTGGTCAACAAAACCAGAGGTAATCTTTTTGACTGTGCAATAGTAAGCCACTGCAAACACCTTTAAAGTGGAAAAGAATCCACTGATCAATCTCACTGGCATATAAATATACAATAAAAGAAATCATAAGCTGTAGAACCATGTAAATTGTAATATAACTCTAGGACCATTGCCACTTGACATTCAAGTTTATTGTAAGTTTGTAACCTTGTTAGAATACAAGAACCTGAAAATTTTATGCTTTCCCAAACAGGATGAATCCTAAGGAGAGAAAGTTGGGAAATTGTGTCTGTAGCTTGCTAGGGAAGATTTGCAAACAATATCCATTTGTCTGAATTCAAATTTGAATCCAATCTGATCAAGGCAATTCAAATTTGATTTGTTTATAATTACATCGAATACAGATTCATCCAAATTTGATCCAATCCAATAATCTTCAAATATATATGCTTATACCTACATAAAATAGATATGTATCTAACTATCTATTAGTAAAAGTTGGGTTTGAATGTAGCATGTTTACTAAAAAGTCCTATTCATCATCCAAATCTAATCCAACTTCAAATTGAATCTGATGAATAATATTCAATTTGAATTCAAAAGTTGACAAGTCAAAATATACGGTCTAGGTATATCAGATTTTGGTTTGAACCATTTGCAGCCCTATGCTGAAGCATGAAAAGTATTGGTTGAGGATAAAAAGAATCTTGTGATGTTTAGATAATATGAGACCATATTCAAAATGGACATGGAATATTTTTTTTTGATGAATGTATGGACATGCAATTTTTGGTACATTTTGGAGCATCAGACAATGATATGACATGATGTTATCTACCTGAAGTAGATCAGTAACGAAGGTTAACAGATAACATCCCTTATACATGTATCGGGCTTAAAACACCTACAATTTAAAGAGAACCAGAATCTGAGCTTAGGGGCACTTGGTGAGTTGTCAGTCCTTTTGGTTTCTTCTAAATCATTATTAGTGAATCTGTTCAATGTTGCCATTGATAAAAGGCACGTTTGTAGCACCAGCCACCAGGCCAAGGCTAAGCGTTTTAGTGCCAGTGCTTGGTTGGATCTGACATCAGAGGAAGGCTTCAGTATTTATATAATTATAAGTTCATCAAGTGGCCTTCTCAATGTCACGAGAACTCCATACGCAAATATAAGAAATAAGATTGGGAAGATTGACAAATATTGGCATGAATTTGATACCTTTTTAGTGACCAAATAAAATGTCAAATTGGTCAGGCATGGACTTCGTTCAAACGCTCAGAGGGTAATGTTCATCACTGTTTTGTATTGTCCCATTCTTTTGAAGTTCACCACTGTCTACTATCACCGTATATACTCACAGGGCATCTCATTCTATATCTTTTCGATCAACAAGTAAATTTTTTGCTTGCTTTTAACATTTAAATGCATCTGAAAAATTACAATTTCATTTTAAACTCAAATCATCCGAAGCAACGAAACCATTTTTATGGTGATTCAGTTCTGACGAGGTAACAGAGTTAAAAGAACATATAGAAATAATTAGAAAAGAAAATCTGGTTCAGAGCAAGCGATTACAGAGAGAACAATCTAACTGTTGCCTTAAAGAGGTCCAACTCCAACCTAAATCTGGGAGCAGTTTAACAAGAACATAAGCATCAAACTCAACAATCATCTAGGGTTTTGATCAAAGAACGACTTGAGCGATGGAGAGAGTGACATACCTAAGAAGAGAGAAAGCCTTGCAACAATGGCAGCTAGAGCAGCGCCGGGTCTGGTATTAGGAAGGAAATGGTTAACACCTCTGTCTCTGTTCACGCTCAAGCCAGTGAGCCACTTCAATCGAGCGTTCTGTTCAGCGACCCGTTGGTTCCTGAAAAGCACGAATGCAGCCATACTGGTGGGATCTGAGTAGTGGGGCCCACGATGCGTTCTCGCGTAGAAGCCACATCGCACAACATCAGTCATCAGTGTTTTCCAAATGAATCGGGGTTGGTGACGTGCCAAGAAATTAGTGGTTACGATAGAAAATAGACCAGCGCATCATCACATCAAGCTTGGATGATTACCTCGTGTTCGTTGTCTATGGAAAATGGTGGCAGGCCGGTGGGGGCTGGTGGTTAGGTGGGCTGAGCTGGGTTGGGTTTGGTGCGGGTTGAAAACCAACCCACCACTAACCACCCACACAGACTCATTAATAACCCATTATTTATGGGTTGCAATCCACCTAACCCACAACTAACCCAACCCACCCACTTAACCTATTTAAATGTCTTACTCTATAGTCTATATAAAAAGGTAAATGGGTCGTTGTTAGGTTAGTAAATGTCATCGGAGAATCGGGTTATCTCGTTAAATGTGAAGAATAATAATGCTTTATAATTATAGGTGCAATCGCATTGCTGGTATGTGGGTAAGCCCATGTATCCAAAACTGGACCAAATTAAAAAGTTGCACTTTTGGACTATTAGATAGGTTAGAGAATACGATCTAATGTCACATGTCACTGTCAATCGGGTCAACCCATATATCTGAAATTCTGAATTGTTAAGCATTAAAAAGAAGACAATTGTTACAGTTTTCCTGTTTACAAGTGTGCCTTCCACATTGCAAAGACAAAAATTCACCTTTATCATTTAATTCCGTTGCATCTCTCATCATCTTCCTCAAGTTTTCCTGCTTCTCACGTTCTTTATTGGACTCCTTTTCTAATCACCCTTAACAAACCTTAAGAATTTTGCCTTTTTAATCTCTTGTTCTTCAACAAAAACACTAATCCAATCTACCTACTAAGCTCTAAGCTATGGATGTTTAATATATAAATTGTATCAGGGTTGATGTGCATCAATTTCCTATCAACATGATATTTAGAATTAATAAAAGAAAACATATTTAAAGCTCAAAATAAAAACAATTATTGCCAAATATCCATAGTTGAATTGGTCGCAAGTCATCCCTCCCACAATGGAGGCGTGGGATCAAATCCGCACGTTCTGCATGCTCTTTGTGGAACCTGCTATCCATATGGATGAAGTTTGGTGGGTTTAACTCGACCATGGACTTATGCAGCCCATGGATTATATTTGGATTTTTGTCACTTGGGCTTGTTTTGGAGTCAAAAGTTTGGGCTTTTTTTCTTTTTCAAGCTAGGTCCATTCTTAGTCCTTGGTGGCCTGAACCTGGCCCAACCTTACTCTTACCCGAGCTTGGCCTAGCTATATATATGCATATATAGCCATATATTTGCAAAGCATACATAGACATATACATTGGTGTTAAATTTTAGTATGGGCTAATTGGTCAACTCAAGCCCAGTTTAGGCCCAAGCCCAACCCAAGTGCATCAAATTTCAATGCGGGCTGGGCTTATGTTTAACAAATTGAGCTTGACCTCGGGCTCAACCAAGGGGTTTAAACTCGACCCATCCCACCTGAATTGCACCCCCTAGTTTTCCCCACCCCCAAATCCCCATAGTATAATGTAATACCCATTACCCAAAAATAGGGCTGTTCATAAGAAGACCCAACCCGACCAACCCGGACCGACTCAACTTGAACCGAACCAACTTAGTAGTTAGTTCATAGTTAGTAGTTATAAGCTACTTATTTCCTACTTAACTAAGTTGTCTCTATCCTATTAAAAACCTAACTTTAAGTTAGGTTGTACAACAACTAAGTCACCACTAAGTAGAGCCAAAACCGACCCAAACCGACTCAAACCGATCAGGTCGGTTTTGCTTTCAATTTCAGGTAACCCGACCAGGTTAGGTCGGTTGGAAAAACATCAATAAACCGACCCAACCCGACCTGTGAACAACCCTACCCAAAAAAGATAAAAATATAAATCTTTTTCCCTATCATTTTTTTTAGGGAAAATTCCTGATTAGTACCCTGTTCTTTGGGCCTAGTGCCACTTTAGTCCTAAACTTTAAAATGCGACAATTTAGTATCCGAACTTTCAAGACGTGTCAATCTAGTACCTGCCATTAATCAACTGTTAATCAACCATTAAGTGGAATTTTAAAAAGACACAAATGCTCTTCAAGTGTCATCTAATTTTCTTTATCAACCATCCAAACGTTGACAAAAAATTAACAGTCCCAAATCCTTGCCTTTTCTATTCAAGAATGTTGACAAAAAATTAGCAGACCCCAACTTTCTTGAATAGAAGACGCAAGGATTTGGGACTGTTAATTTTTTGTCAACACTTGGATGGTTGATCAAGAAAATTAGATGACACTCGAAGGGCATTTGTGCCTTTTTCAAATGCCACTTAATAGTTGATTAACAACTGGTTAACGACAAGTATTGGATTGACACGTTTTGAAAGTTCGGGTACTGAATTGTCACATTTTAAAGTTTGGGAACCAAGATGGCACTAGGCCCAAACTAAAAGGTACTAATCGGGAAATTTCCCTTTTCTAGAAAAAGAAAACTCATATAATCAAGTTAATTGTACATATTGAACTTTGGATGTTTTTTCCTTTTTTAGGATATTATTTGACTTTTCTGCATTTCTCTTAAACTCATCATGGCTTTTTTGAAACCTCGAGAGAGCCCCTTATCAAGGAGTTTTGTTGTTTAAAACTCAGCTTCCATTAGATTTCCATTAGCAACATTTAATAGAATTTGTCCACATAAGCATTTGAGTATTTTACATGACCAAATTACTCCAGAATGGCCAATCAAGCTTATTAAATATTTTTCATGATAGAATTGTCGCCTGACATGAGCCTTGGCCCACACTAAGCCTATAGTTGGGGGTAATTTTGTCACAAAAATATTTAATAAGGTTGATTGATCATTCAAGGGTAGTTTGTTCATGTAAATTACTTAAATGCATATGCGAACAATTTCTATTAATGATCACTAATCCAACGGAAATCTCAACAAAAGGTGAATTTTAGACAATAAAGCTTACTGACAGGGGTTCTTAGGAGGTTATGAAAAGTCATTGTGAGTTTAAGAAAAATGTGAAAAGGTCCGAGTCTAAGAGAAATGTGAAAAAGTCATGGTGAGTTTTTAGATAATATCCCTTTTTTTGTTGGTAGATGTGATGCATCTTTGGCCCCCATTGGTTATGATGCTAATATGTTAAGGGGCCATTTAATAATGGTTAAAGCTGTTGAATAAAAATGCTTATTGCTTTTTCTTTTAGTTGTTAAAATAATTAAGTAATAAAATTTTCAATGATCTATCCAACCTTCAGATTTAGCCATTAAGGAGCCCACAACCTCCTTAAAAACTTATTCGTTAAAAGATAAAGCAATAGGGGTGGAGCTATGATTCTTATTAAGGGGGGCCAAAAGCTAGCAAGCATGGATAGGGGGGACCAAATGGTAGTAAACATAGGTAGATAGTATTGGCGTGAGCTGTAAAACTAGGGGATATCCCTTGAATTCAGGGATAAATCTCAGCCTAAGTTGTATGTAACTAGGAGAGGTAGAACCATAATCTATGTATAATTAGGAGATGTTTGTATTATGAATATATATATTTCTCAACCCCTGCAAAGAAAAAACACAAGAAGAACAGAGGAAGAGTTTCTCATTCTACTCGAGTTATCATGGTATCAGAGCATACCGATCCATCATAAACTCGACGATATGATCGCTGCGAAATCTTGGTCGCCGACAGAGGCTCCATCCGCTGCTATTACCGCTGCAAATCCCTGTTGCTGCGAAACCTTGGTCATCGGAGGTGACCGCTGCTATCCCCGCTGCAGGTTCTGACCGCTGCGAAATCTTGGTCGTCGGGAGGCGACCGCTGCTATCTCCGCTGTAGGTCGTGATCACTGCGAAAACTCGGTCGCCGGGAGGTGACCACTGCTATCACCGCTGCAGGTTCTGATCGCTGCGAAAACTTGGTCGCCGGGAGGGGACCACTGCTATCACCGCTGCAAATCCTGGTCGCCGCAAAATCTTGGTCATCGGGAGACCGCTGCTATCTCCGGTGTAGGTCGTGATCACTGCGAAAACTCGGTCGCCGGGAGGTGACCACTGCTATCACCGCCGCAGGTTCTGATTGCTGCGAAAACTTGGTCGCCGGGAGGGGACCACTGTTATCACCGCTGCAAATCCTGGTCACCGCGAAATCTTGGTCATCGGGAGGTGACCGCTGCTATCACCACCGCAAATCCTGGTCGCTGCGAAATCTTGGTCATTGGGAGGTGACCGCTGCTATTACCGCTGCAAGCCTGGCGGTGGCTCTATCCACTGCCATTACCGCTGCAACTCCGGCAGTGGATCTATCCAGAACTATCAACCCCATCGCGGACCCCGGGTGGTTGGCTACTATTACTGTCATTGCAAAACCGATAGGTGCTCTGCTGCAATCTCGCCGCCCCATCGTGGTCGACGGTGCTACTACCGCTACAACTCGCTGATAATCATGTCTGATTCGGAAACCTCAGATCCATTTGGAGAACAACGACCTAATCCTACTCTCACTGAATTGACCACCAGAATGACTGAATTCCTGCACAGACCGATCTCAACTACAGAAACCTCTGCCGCTCAGATCGGTATCAAGTTGGATGGCACCAACTATGCCCTTTGGTCCCAAGTTGTTAAGATGTATATATTTGGCAGAGACAAACTGGGATATATTACTGGAGAACTTCCTTAGCCTCCACAAATTGACCCAACCTTTCGAAGGTGGCACACTGACAACGCTATTGTCAAAGGTTGGTTAATTAACTCCATGGACGTATCCTTGATTGGTAACTTTATTTGATTCCCTACAGCAAAGATGGTGTGGGATTCTGTGGCTACCACGTACTCTGATGGCAGTGATACCTCGCAAGTATACGATCTCCGGCGCCGTGTGACCCGCTTGCGCCAGTCTGGA